CGAATCAACAATATTAGAGTACATCGAAATCAACTCAATTATGTTAGTTTTAACAGACTTTAAAAATATTCACGTGTTTTGATACAATACACCATGATATGCCTGTGGTATCGAGTTAAAAGAATCCACCGAGATAAGGAAAATAGTGTGAAATGAATCGAGACCACAGGAGAGTCATAATGACAGGCCAATGGGCTTCAGTTTCGGCAAACCATGAAATTTGCATACTTTAACAATACTCAAACCTATTGGTGGCCATTACAACTCTCCTATGGTCTCGATTCATTTCATACTATTTCCCTTATTTCGGTGGACTCCCTTAAACAATTTCCACGTACACCACTTTCAAAAAAATCGGCGATAAACCGCCGCTATAAAGCGCATTATACCGATGGATCTACCAGCGGTTTTTGTCCAGTTCGAATCGCATGGGCAGCTGTCTTAAATATAAGTCAGGTGAGTGGCATCTAATTTTTGCTGCTGTCTTCGTTTTAATAATCTTGGAGCTTGGAAAAAGCAAAGTCCTCAAAAACTTGCCTTTGTTGATAATATTCTATAAGAAAATACAACGTCATATTAATGATCATAAAATGCATCCTATAATCGATTCAATTGGAAAAACTTAAACCATGAGGTGTTTACAGCGAATTTTCAATGTTCAGACGTATATTCGAATCGTGAATGAAAGATTTACAGAACTGCGAAAAGTTCACATCTTTAGAATTAATCATTCAGCGGTTATAGGTATTCTAGTGGAAACTCTAAGTGACTTTTCTAGCAATTTCTGTGAAACAGATTTTTTTTTGCTGTTTCTTCTTTGATAAACAACCAATTTTTTCGCTATTTAGAAAATTGATTAAACAAACTTCACATAACATACCATGAAAACCTATAATACACAATTTAATGCATCTTCATCTCCGCTTTTGGACGATGAAAACTGCAGTTCTCTATCTGGTTTCTATCAGAAGTTATTCAAATAATATCCATACGCTCTTTTTTTTCTTACAAAGGCAGTAGTATGTTCATTGCATATCATAGAAAAACAGATGCTATTGAAATTTTATTATTATGATATTAGTTGAAGAATAATCAAATATCATAGAGAAATAGAGCACTACTTTTACTATCACTCCATATAAAGAAAAAGTTTCTTCAATTTTTCTATAAGTAAATAAAGTACCCTCCGTCATGACTTTTGGACAGTCCTAAGTATTTTCAGTTAACTACATACATGATAAAACTGTTTTAAAAGATTTCTAATAGATTGTGCTATATACAACAATTTTTCATGAGAATTTCTTACCCATTGCTATTATATGTAGTACTTCAAAAGGATAAGTTATTTATCAGTTTTGAAAAAACTTTGAACCTCCATTAACTAAGAAATCTCAGTCTGCTATATCATCAAACCAATGTAAATCACGAACTATGATCCAGCAGTGAAAATAATTTTATTTAATTATTGTCCTAGTGAAAAATATATTTAAAGAAATCAGGATTATTTTTGATTGCCCGTTTACAAATTTCATTTTTCGTATGAAACTTTCGTATTTTGTAGGATAATCCGATTAAAATCGATTAAGATTCCTAAAACAATTGAAAAAATAATCTACTATCTCGATTATCCTTGATAATTAGAGTAGTAATTTGATTTAAATCGGTTCAATCAATTTTAAAGGTATTGGAAGATATCAGTAAGATCTATATAGAACCAAATGATTCGTAACTAGTACGAGGTATTTTAGTCAGAATATTAATTACTAGCATAACTACGGTAGATAAACATGCCATATAATATTTATTAGAACAGAAGTTCTAGAACAAACACAATATACATGATTACAACCAATATAAGTACTTTTTTCAAAACATAATTTAGATAAAACAATTCGATTAAAATTGCTTTTAATCAATAGCAAGTTCATCCAAAATAAGAATGATGTTTAATTGATTTAAAAATGTAGTAATGAAGTGAAACTAATTATTTTCTTTAGTAGGAGACACACATGAGATAAGTACAACCTGTGAAAATATCAATTACAAAAGCGTTTTATATACACAGAAGTATTATGTAGAAAAAGATAGGATTATGAATACAACTCATTGATATCGATTAAAATATTTCAATTAATTTAAATAGATTTTAATCGATTGCTGATGTAATTTCATCATCTCAGTTTGAACCAATTTATATAGTAGTTCCAAATTTACATTATTTGTCAGACTTCAACATGGTGACAACTTCATAGTTTCTAAGCACGGGCAATCAAAAAAAAAATTATTCAAAAATTAGGGTTTTACGTTCGAATATCGAAAAAGGCGCTAAACTTCCATACATATGATTAAAATCGATTAACAATTAATAATAGATTGAAATCGATTAAGAAATGATAGTAGATTAAAATTGATTAATAGGTAGCAATAGATTAGAACAGATTAATAAGTAGTAATATATTGAAATAAACTAACAGGTAAGACAGAATTAGAACAGATAATTACCATGTAAAAAAAGGTGGAAAAATCTGATTTAAATTGTTTTTTTACTTTTTCTTACATGGAAAAGGGTTCTATGTAGTTTTATTTCATCTTCCTGTTTACAAAACAGTACAACAATGTAAAAAATTAATCAAAATCGGACTGAACCGAAATATATGAGAATTTTCACCATGACTATTTTGAAACAAAATTCAAATTAGAATCGATTTTAATTGCTAAAATTTTTCATTAAGTTTACATTGAAATTATTTCAAATTGAATTTATTCTTTTACTGAATGATAGTATAAAGAAATTTCAAGTCAACAGAGCTGAAAAATCTACACAAGCAATCAATCATATACATCAATTCTTAAACTCTCTTTAACATCAAAGAACTACGACATACTTGTATTCTAGTCAATGGAAAATAGACATAAACTTAGTTAGCGCTGTGAGTCTTCCAATAATGCTGAACAACTTTCATCAACTAGAAGATAAGTTAAATCAATTATATTCATATGTAGTCATAACAATTGAAGTATCGTTTAAAATACGAGACACATGAATACATTTTAAATTTCAATTATCGATCATTAATATAATGAAAACTTCGCAAGATCACAGTAACATTTAATCTAATCTCTGTTGCTGCTGAGATTCGTTTTCATTATATTGAAAAAAAGTTCTCACTTCAAAATCATCATTTTGTGGAGCTCGAAAAGTAGAAAAAAACTCACAAACGATTACAATACAGTGCTTCGCACTATAATTTCAATATGACAATAATATTGCTTTTATCATCCATAAAAGTTCAATGTACAGAAAAAGAAATCGATCGCGGTATTTTCAACATTCATTTGGTTATTAGATCTACTTAAAGAAACAAGACTACTCGATTCGATTATATTTTTCTTATTTCGAATTGTTTTTGATCAGCAAATAATTTTATTTGTGGTGCAAAATCTTATCCTTTAGATTTGAGTCACACAATAAGTGCAGATACAATTACCATTAGAGTAACTAATCTGTATGAAACTACTAAAATAATACCAAACGCTTTTTAATGAATGTTAAAGACATATTTTTGTTTTGTGAACTTATTACGCGAGACTCAATTTAATCAGAAATATTCTTAGAAAATTCAATAATAAATATGCATTTGAAATGCTTTTGTTTTCAGATCTTTTTCATAGTCCTCTAATGGATGCGTTTATTTGCATTTAGATTAAGATATTCATAAGTTATTGAAAGTGTTGTAATATAGAACAATTATAGTTATTAGTTATAGACCATATGTAGTTTTTAATTGGATGACTTGCATCAGTCAATCAGTTAAACTTGAAATTAGTACATATCTAATTTCTAAGCATGAACATTGAATGTAGGTTCTTGTTCTCAGACAGTCCACGTCATATATTGAATTCATAAGAATCAAAAACAAGTTACTGAATTGATGAAGACGAAATCTATATGTAGTTGGAAGTCCTCGAGAACAAGATCTCCAATGTGTTCTCCGTTATGAGAAATCCGAATCGACATAATTACTCATCAAAAAAAAAGAACTACGAAATTGTTTGAGAGTTCGAAGACATTCTAAATGAAGTACAAGCATTGTTAAAGATGTTCACATTCTTGAAAACAGATTCTCAACAAAAGGAGAACTCTGACACTCTTTTATTCATATAATAAACATATATAGACAATATTTGTCTTAATCGATGTGTCGTCCATTGAAGTATTTCTCGATCGAATCAACTACTAACAATTAATATACTACGATTTTATTTTAAGATATTTCGAATTTATTATAAACATTCATTAATATTATCAAAACATTTTTAAATAATTAATTAAATTTTGAAACTGTTACTGTTGAAAATATTAATATTTGTTGTTGTTGGATTAACAAAATATATCAAGTCATAGAAGAGAAAATGCGTCAAAAATTATAGTCATGTCATGGCGCAGATTTTTATCAAGATACTATCATACCCTTGTACACTGTATATTCTAGATACTAAAAATAGAAAATAATACGATAAAAACTGTTCATATTGACATATTAAATAGGTGTTTATCAACTGATTTGTTTTTACATGTACATATATTGCAAACATATGTATGCAAGGTATGACAAAAATGATGAAAAAAATGTTAGTAATAACTTATGTATCATTTTAATTTTATCGTTCTGTTTTGAATTTTTCTTTTTGTATGTACAAAATACAAAAATTATTTACATTCATATTCAGTAGCTATCTTACATTACTAGTGAATCCCTATTGTTATTGAGTATTGTTTATACAAAATAAATGTATAGCTTAAGTTGAAACGCAAAAGACATCAATCAAGATGGGTAGGAAAAAATGTCAATCAGCGATAAATTTTATTGTGACTAGGCTTATGTCTAAATCATGATCGAGGTATTTTTCTTATGTTAACATTATTATACTAAATCAAAAACAAAACAAAAAAATATATGAATTTGAATTTCATTTAAAAATACAAAAGAAAAAAATCATTATTTATATAATTGTTTTCCATTATTATTAAGTTTCGATGATATTCTTTGAATATGTTGTTCAATTCGAATAACATCTGGATGTATAGAAGATAAAACTTGATGATAGATAATAGCTGTTTTATTATAATAAGATAAAGCTTTTTCTAATTGATCTTTTTGTTCATATATAAGACCAAGTCCACAATAACTTACAGCAATTTCTGGATGTAATGGATGAAGTGTATTTTGTAAAATTTTAAGTGATATATTATAATGTTCTAATGCTAAATCATATTGACTTCGACATATATAAATAATAGCAATATTATTATGTGATATACCTAAATCAGGTTGATCAACAGATAAATTTTCTTGACGAATAGCTAATGCTTTTTGATGACATTCAAGTGCATCAATATAATTTTCTTGTTTTTGATAAATTCCACCTAAATTTGTATAACAAAGAGCTACATTTAAATTATTTTCACCATTAGTTTGTATAGTAATTATTAATGCTTGATAATATGATGAAAATGCTTGTTTATAATCAGATTTTTTAAAATAAATTCGACCAATAATATTATAACTATCAGCAATACTTAAATCATTTTCTTTTAATATTTTTAATTTAATTTCTAAAGATTTTTGATGTAATTTAAGACTTCTATCATATATATTTTTTTCCATTGCAATACATCCTAATACATAATAACAATCAGCAATTATTTGATAATTATCCGATAATTCATTAAGTAAACGTGTAAAATATTTTTCAGCTTCATTTAATTTACCTATTTTTCTTAAAAAATTTCCAAAAGAAAGTATATTTATTCTTTCTTTATTGTCATTTGTTTTAAATGATTGAAAAATTTTATTTAATTGTTGATCATTATCTTGACATAATGATAATCGTATAATCCATAATCCATCGGATTGATGATGAATATTAATTAAACGAAAAATAGATCCTAATGTAAATAAAACTTCTTCCATTTGTTGAGAAGAACTATTAGATTTGATAAAACAAAATGATTTTGTTGAATTATTAAATGGCTTAGCATCAATTTCGAATAGAACTTGTTCAAGATCATTTGTAGATGATGATGATGATTGATTAAGATAGGATATAGCTAATTCACGAGAAATAGTTGTTGAAAGAAATGAATTTATTGAAATTAAACGACCAATAGAATTTTTCAACAAATTTATTTCTTCTTTAGTTATTAATTGACTTCGATAAACTCGAATTGGTGATGTACATTGATTTTTTATAATTGCGTGTTGAATATCATGAATAAAAAATCGAAAAAAAAATAATAAATCGATATTTTGTGTTCGAAGTGCTTTATTTAACATTCGATAAATAAATGAATCTTTCGTATACCAATAAAGAGCTTTATCCGATGAATAATTATCATGAAATTCTTGTATAAATTTTAATTCATTATGAATTTTATTATATTTTTTTTTACATAGAACAATTAATTTTTTTTTTATCGGCCTTCGTTGGTTTTAATTGAAGAAGAGTATGAATTAATAATTGTGAATAAATGAAATGATCATTAAAAGTATTATTTGATTGTTCATGATATGTATTTGTTTGAAACATACTTATTGATAATGGTTCATTTACTTGATTTTCACATCGTTTTGAACGTTCAACTCGAATTTTATCAACCAATTGATTAAATTGTTTACCAATATCTTTTATCTAAAATAAAAAAATAAATCATTTAACTTTTGCTTTTATTGTTTATCTTTATATTACTTTTTTATATTTTTTAGTCCATTTTTCATTTATTAGTTTATCTGAGCAATAAATATAAATTGAAGAAATTTGTCGAAGTTCATGAATATGTGGTATTATTTCTCGAGCTAATCGATCACCAACAATAAATATAATTCGTTCATCTTGTGAAATTGATCGAATATATTCTTCACATTTTTTAATATTTTCAAATGTTTTTAAATGATCAATTGATGATCGAATTAATTTTTGACCATTTATATATTTTGGAGATGTATTTACCAAATTATCAAGCCATATAAGAGGATATGTATAAGGTTTAGTATTATCTCGTCTTACGTGTTTTATTGCTGCTCCCATTATTCAACAATATTTTTTTACTTTCTTTTTGTTTCAGTTAGATGTCAAATGTTCTATTTGTTTTCGATATTCGATCAAATTAGTGACATATATGCCGAGGTGAATGAAAATAGCAAAGTTATCCATGTGTATTAGTTTTCGTTATTTGTTTTTTATTTCTATTTGTATAATTATATACAACATGCCTGACATTGTAGTCATACGTATTAGCTTATAAAATGCGTGTGCATGCATGAATAACTATGAAATAGCATGCGTGGGAATGCATTACAGAGTTAATTATATTCACGCTTACATACATGAAATTTTACGCATATATTTAGTTAATTTGTTCGTCGCAGGTGAAAATATATGCATGATTTTGTAGAAATCCTACGCGTGTATATGCAGGACACTTTTAGAATAGTCAAAAACGAAATGCATGTAACGGACGGGTCGTAATGAATCATTAAATGTACATGCAATTTTTCTCTCAATTTATTATTCATAAAAAACTATTCATTCATACACGAAAAGATAGCAAATTTCAAGCTCTACAAAAAACTATACCTCAATTTTACAAACAACTTTTCTACTTTATATCGAAATCAACACATTGACGTACACTGTATATTCCTACTGCAACACTTAAACTAGACAAAAAAACTGCATAACATCGTTCATGTGACATTAATTAGTTTTACAAATAAATGAAAAAGGTCTCTATAAAATACGCTATTTTTTCGGTTGTATCTCAAAGTTTTGAACGAAAGCTTCAAGTAAAAAGTTAGGAAACAAAAAAAGTACTGAATTTTATATCCATTTTGAAGCTTGTCCATTTTTCCGTGAACTTGGAGATAATATGTCGCACTTTGATTCACTATTCACATAGTCTTCTAGAGAATAAGATTCTATATGTTTCAGTGCAAAAAATAAAAACTTTGCAATTGAATTGAAACTTAAAAAATTCAATTTTTAAAAATTCTTGGAAAATCATCATGAAAAACACTTTTAATGGATTTTTAACTTCTCAGAAATGTTTGAATATTCGAAAATACATAAGTCAGACAGATAGAGAAGAAAATTCTCTATTTCTTGATATAAAACTACTTGCTTTAGATATTCATTTTCATAATATTGTCTGCTTTCAAAAAGTACGAGCAATGATGCGTCGCAGTCGAAACATATAGTTGTACCGATATTGATATCACCTCCTGTTGATCTTCCTTGTTTCTTTCTACTTTATCTTGTCTCTATTGTTCCCTCCTATGCTCATTTCTCTCTCTCTTGCTCTCTTCTATATTAGCATGTATTGTATATGAAGTATTATCCGATCCAAAATAAAAGACACGTTGCCATTTTTCAAATAACTTTAATGAGAACGAGATAGAGAGTTATGATTTTTACCATTCGAAAGAGCGATGTCCGGGTCATCAATCAGTATAGAACTCATTAAGACAAAAGATCTTTTTTATAATAGCTAACAAAAAGGGTGATCTGAGCTACATTTTGACATAATTTGAGTTGAGATTATTGTAAAAATTGATGAAAATACTCGAAGGAAAAGTGTTGATCCAAAGATATCTATAAAAAAAACATCTTTCGTCTGAATGAGTTCTATACTGATTGATGACCCGGACATCGCTCTTTCGAATGGTGAAAATTGCAGCTCTCTATCTCGTTCCTATCAAAAGTTATTCGCAAACTAGTAATGTGTCTTTTATTTTGGATTGAATAATACATAAGTAAGTGATTCATTAAGTTATAAGAAACCATGGCTACGTTGTTCGACACATATCCACAACGGTACTATGTGCAAACTTCAGTAGCATCATTCATGGAATGATTCTAGACAAATTACTAATGGCTATTTGTCTCGAATCACCGGCACGATAGCATATTGACTACATTATGATACACACATACTCTTGTGGCTAGTTAATGTGTGTGGGAAGCTCAAGGAATTCAGCGCAAGAACTTTGTTTCAGATCGACCTTCTGTTTAGAGCTACAGCTAGTATTAATGGTAGAGAAGATATCGAGCTATTGAATTTGCAGCTAGACAGCACCCCATACCGCAAGGTAGTTGTCAGGCAGAGGTATTCTTCCTTCATTAAGTTTTTATAGTGATTATTTGATTGCAAAATAATATTTTTCATGTATAACATACAAATATAATTTATCATGACATTTATCATTTTCAACTATCTCAAGTAACAACCACTGTCACTAAAATTCTACCAACTACTTCTATAAACATGTCAACATCGACTACAGGCAAAAATTATTATTTACCAGAAACAATATTTTTAATCAATAATGTTCCATTAATATCTCTTTTAAAAGTTATATCTGTACCGAAAATCTTCGGTGTACATTAACCATATCCTTTCATAAACTTATGATGGTCAATGGAAAATAATTGCTCAATTTAATTTAAATGATAATGAAAGGCCTACTAGTAATGATATATATATACATAATACGAATAAAATTTTATTCAGATATCTATAGACATTTTTAATTAAAGATGTATAATTTATTCATTCTAATAAATTGCAAATTCCATCTAAACATTCACATTGATTTTCATTCAAAAAAACATCTGAAAAAATTTTAAATCCAACCTTTTCATAAAATCTAATAGCACGTTTATTATGAGACAAAACACCACCCCATAGAATTAAACGTTCTCTACCCATTTGTCGTGCAATTTTTTTTATTTTTTCAAATAACCAACAACCTAAATGACGATTTTGATATTGATCACTAATACATGGACCAAATCTTGCATCAGTTATTTCATTTAATATAATATTATATTTTTTTGCAAAACGTTCATATTCATCTTCAACAATAGATAAACTAAATTCGAATAAAGCAATAATTATTTCATTATTAATTAAACCAACAAGACGTAATTTATCATATCGATTTATTGCAAAACATAATTCACGAGCTTCATCAAGGTCATAACTATTATAAGTTGAGAACTCACGTGTTTGTGGACTTAAGTTTTCTAAAAATTCAGCTAATTTCAATTCATCATTCGGTAATAATGGACGAAAATGAATCAACATTCCTTCAAAATAATCAAAACTACTAACCAATTCTGGATTTCGATCGATATCATCTAATGTAAGTGCCATCAATCTACAATCAATTGTATACATTCTTTTATTCTGGATTTATTTACTTTTTTTTTCTATAAAATAGACAAATGAACAAGAATAACATTAACAGAACGAAAATAATAATAATAATAAATTACACAAAAAAAAAACAAACTATACATATATATATGTTGTCAACGATATATAGAAAAGTTGCTTGAATACAAAATATTTTAACTATGAGATAAGAATTCTCGATAGATAATAATAACATAAAGTGCTGCACAAAATATAACAAGAATATCATCAAATAATCCAAGAAAACCAAGAACATTTTCTGGTAAAACATCCAATGGCGAAAGAACATATGCAATTACTGTAAAAAGTATTAGTATAATTCTTAAACGATATGTCCAAGCTAAATTTTGAACAGTAAACATTTGCCGAATAATATGAGGAATTAACACAGGTATATCAGATATATATTCACGAAACTATTAAATAAAATATAAATAAATAAATAAATAAATAAAAATAAATTGATTCTTACCGTTCGCGGAGCACCAGAAAATCGTCGATTAAAATCTTGTACATCATTAATTACCGTATCTCGAGCATCATTATCTGTTGATGCTTCTTCATCAGCAGTGAAACATGTCAGAAGAACAGTTACCTAGAAATGAATTAAAACTAGTTTCTCATGAATTATCTTATATTGTTAATCTTATACAATTGATTAAATAATCTCTTTTTTCTACTTCATTTTTTCCACATTGATTCAATTATACATATTGAAAGTTTAATCATAGAAAAACAAAACGAACGCTACTTTTTTTGAGTTTTCTTGAATTTGATCCTAAATATTGGATTGCGAGGTTTAAGGAGAGATCTCTCTCACAATAGATTTACTACTTACAATGATCCATTTGAGCTGAAATTTCCAGTCCGATATGCCGAACTAGAACGAACTTCTGGCTTATTTATAGTCTTCAGGAGAATCTTTATAACTTCGTCATTACCAGAGATACCGAGCTCGGAGTGGTTTCAAATTAAGGTCAGTGTCTATGCGCAGTTTTTTGTCTGCACAAACTTTTGAAATTTGCTTCCATTCAATTTTTATAATTATTTAACAAATGTCACTTCACACACCAAATCGAGCTTTTCTCAACAGAGAAATTAACTATAAAAAATTTGGTCGAACAAAATTTTACTGTCATTTAGACCTTTAAAACAAAAACAAATATTGATTATGTCTTCAACTACGTTGAAGGAATTTCAATTTTTCTGATTAAAAAACTTGCTCTCAGAAAAAACGGTATATAATTTTAGATATGGATTTTTTCATTCAAATCTAGTGAAAAAAAACCATATTAAAGTGGCATATTCACCATATGTTTACGTAGAATTTTTAAAAGTACGCAATGGATGCTGCAAGGTAACACATCTATTATACTTAAATTATATACAAGAATATCTAGGAAAAAATATTAGTAGGATCGAAATTTCTTTCGAAAGACTATTTAAATTAGCCTTTTTTTTTTTGAAAAGTCAAATAGATTCTGAGAAAGGAAATTTCGCTGTATCTTTCTATGATAAAAACTCAACTTCGATTATTTTTTTCGCAAAAACAAAATGAATTTTCTGAAGGAAGGGGGCCCTTAAATAACACTGAACATTTATCCTTTCTAGAGGTTAAGATTAACTTTGAAAATTTAAAAAATACATACCTGTTGTCGACATACAGGGCAATTCATACCACTCATCCAATTGCTTTGAAACTTCCAAAATGTAATAATACATTGACCTAAATAAAAAGAAAATGAACTTTTTATTTATATTTACAAATAAACATTTCTACAAACCACAAAATAAATGTCCACAATTCGTTTCAACACTTAATACTGATGAATCACTAAGACAAATAGGACATGTATCATGACGAGGTCGACCAACAGGTAATGGTAATCTATTAGTTGTATCAGTTTGAGAATTTTGTTGAGTTCGTTCACGTAATAATTCAACATCTTGTCGATTATCTGGATGAATACTTGTATTACGCTCACGTCTAATGAAATGAAATAAAAAACAAGATATTTTTTAAGTTAATTAACATATTATAGATTCTACCTTGAATAATAAATCCAAAGACCAATGAGACTTACAGTAAAAACAAATAAAAGTATTGTATCATCACTAATACCTTCGATTAATGTTGGATTATGTAATGAATATGGTTCAGATAATGTACTATCCTTTCTAAATGGCCAATACCACGGCATATTTCTAAAAGTAAAAGATAAATATGTCACAACTCACATTCTTACTCATTCTTCTCAATATTTATTATTGCGTGTATGGAAAAAACTTTTTTGTTCTTATATGATAATGACTCATGCTCTCGAAGCTGTGTGGATGAATAATTTTCTCCATATCTACCATTATACACTATTTACAAAGTGCTAAAATTTTTTCTTTACACTAAACATAATTCTTTTGGTAAGGAAGACTGTTTTTTTTTTTTAGCTCAAGTAAATTCTTTCATTGAACAAAAAATCAATCTAAAATACAAACATAATAAAGAAGCAATCCTTCTAATTGTAAATGTTGAATCAAGAGATGCAAATTACGTATTATATTTTTTATATATATTTTTTTTTTATATAAAGCCACAAATGTTAACTAAACTGTATTGCTCTCGTGGATAGTTTGCATATAAATTTTTTTTCGGTGTAAACGAGGAATAATAACAACGAGGCAATAGAAAAAAATTTTCTTGGTCTACAGGGATTATACGGATAATACAAGACAAAAAAAGAGAAAAAACTAATGTCATTGTATGATTTATTCATCTTTTGCTTTTGGTCGATAAAACGCAATTTTGCGTGATTTCAATGTTGCCCATTTAACACGTTTCCAATGATAAGATAAAACAGCCAAAGGAGCAAAGATTAGAATAGCTTTAATAGCTAATCGTTTACGATCATCATGATCACGTTCAGCTGTCCATTTAAGAAATTCTGTTACATCTTTAGCTAATTGAGACTCGCTAGCTTTTGTTCCATCCGAGTATTCAATTTGATCATCATACAATTGTTTAGGCATAGCAATCCAACCACCACTAAAATATGGATTGTAGTGAAGATTTGGTTCACCTTTTACACCAGCTGGTGGATCTTGATAACCAGTTAATAAATTAAATATGTAATTACAACCATCCGTACGACCTAAATTTAATATAAATATATTGATAATGAAAGTATTATTATTACACAAATCAATTTTATCGAATTAACTTTCTTTGTTTTTGTTTTCGAATGATTTATAAGTTTTTTTTTTTTACTTAAGTAGTAAATTCGAATTTCAGTCATTCATAAGAATCATTGAAAAGACATCAGTATTAATGATAAATGTTTATAAGCTAATAAATTTTATTAATGTCAACATGAAGTTCAAAATCAATGTTTGCTTATGAATGTCAATCATTTTGTGGTAAGTAAAACATATTTGCAAGTATAGTCTTCTATATTATCAACATAGAGAGTTTTCTTATGTCCGTAAAGTTATTTATTCGTTGAGATTCGTACATTATATTTTTAGTTTAATAAATTCTCAGTAAGTCGACGCCTCAAGATTTCCTCTTATGTGAGAAACAAAAACAGCAAAACTTGAAATCACTAATTAATGACGTTGATACATCGTTTAAAACATAGTAGTAAATATTTGTAAAAAAATCAACCTCAGTATCCTACGAGAGAACTCCTTCCCTAACTGCTTAATCGTTGTTTAGTCGGTACTATGTGCATCATGTAGATTCTAATGATCTATGAATATCCTAAGAAGAACTCGAGATCTTAGCTTATAGCTGCAAAGATATTGTATTTTTAAGTCTATATCTTGATTCGTCTTACGAACAGTAGAAAAACTAATTTTTGAATTTTGACTTGAAAATTTGCATTAACACAGATTTTAACGAGAGTAGTTTATTGTAAAAGTTGTCGATCTTTTGATTGGTTTCTATCTTGAAATAAGGATATCGAATTTGTCGGCGCATATGACCCACACTTGCAACCGGACTGATCAGTTTGCCGAGTTTTTTTAATTGATTTTTGGGAACACTAAAGTTGACATATTTTGCTGGTTTTCAATGAATTCCATGGTTTTAATAATCAAGATATATGAACGTAGAAGTCTCCAACTGATAAAATTCCAATTGTCATCATACGATGAGAGTCTCAAATCATGTTAAATGAATTTATTATGCTCAAGAAAAGTTAATCAAGTATTAGAAGTTAATTTCAGTCTAAACTAAAGATTTTACATCTCGAACTTTCAAACTCACTTGTCTAGACTACTTTTAACAGACTCTCATAAAATACCAATAGCTAGTAATTTTCAGTTCAAGCTTTCATCACAAAACATCAGAAAAGATTCCATTCTATTGTCAAGCTCTTGTCAAATACAAGCATCATGCAATTGTAAAAATATTTAGATATTAAGAAAACCTTAAAATAGAAAGTTTAATATAAAAACTGTACGTTTTAATTCACCTTATCTTTCTATTAACGATAGTATTCATTTACGAATTGAGATGCCTTTCAGCTGTATTAAATAATTATTTCAAATAAGAATAGATCAAACTTCTCAGTTGTAAAGAAATCATATCGTTATTGAAAAAAGTCAATCAAAAAATAATATAGAATTTGTTCAATATTAGTTGATGTGAATTACTAGATAGGACGTTTTCAAAGAAATCTTTGTTCGTTCTTTATGTTAACAGATATGAAACATGATAGACTAAAATAGGTGTTGTTACTATTAGAAACATCAAGGATAATATGAGTTTGACATTATTCAAAAATTAGTTTTTCTGTTGTTCTTAAGATGGACTATAGCATACACTGAAAAAATATCGTAAAAGCGCAGTATCATTTCCACAGTAATGAACTAAGAGTTCGAATTCTTTTCAGAATAACCATAGATCATTAGACCTACAAATTGCCAAAGAATGTTTTTTTCAAAGAAAAATTGATAAAAATAGAGCAATTTCTTATTTATACATCAATTCTTTTTTCTATACAAAAAATAAATATTATTATTTCATACATACCAAGTGTTATAAGTGAAAGATCAGGTGGTAAAGCTCCAGCATTTCCATCTTTAGCAGCCTGAAATATATATATATATATAGAATAAAAAAATCTTGTACTTTTGCTTATAAACTAACTAAAAATACTAACATTATCATTGGGATATGGTGACGGTAAATAATCTGTAAGTTTGCCAGGTCGTTTGAACATATTACCTTTGTCATCAGGACCATCTTCAATTTGATCTTGAGCAGCAAGTGTTTTAGCTTCTTCTTCCGTATGTGTAACACCAACCAAATGACGATAAGCAACAAATCTCAATGAATGACAAGCAGCACAAACTTGTTTATATACTTCAAATCCACGACGTACAGATGCATGATCAAGTGAATCAAACGGACCTTGAAATGACCATGGTAATGAAACTAAATGTGCTTTATTACCCGATGCATGAACAGCTTGTGAATGTGCCCAAGCATAACCTAAAGCACCAGTTGTTAAAAGACCACCACCTATTTGATAAGCAAGACGTTTCCATCGAATGGATGTTTGATTTGATGTAGAAGATGAATTACGAATAACATAAACTAATATTTGATGATTTTGTCGACTTGTTCGACATAAAATTGTTGAAGTCATTTTCTTTATTTAATTTCAATTGAGTAATGTCTATCACATGGAAAGACAATATCTTAAGAAAAAAAGAAATACGAATATTTGAGTTAAGCAAAAATAAAAGAAAAAGAAGAAAAGAAAACGAATATGTTTACGATTATGACGATGCCTAGGATCTTCCATCGATTTGTATTAAAAAACTCCTAACGAATCGATATTATGTCGCTTGTTTATATAATTCAATAATATAGAAATTTTTATTTTTATTATAATTTTTTTTCGTTGAAAAGTTTATTAAGATAAAAATAAATATAACCATATAAATAAAAATAGATGACGCTGACAATATAGATTTGATTTACTTTAGAAAAAAAAAAAATAAACCAATACAATTTATGTTGTTGTCTTCTTTTCTTTTCCTTTTCTTCGTTTGACGCACGACTGTTCTAGAGTTCTCTCTTTTTTGGAACATTCTTGTATGGTTCATTTAGTTGTTTGCTTTCGAAAGAATTCTTATATATAAAAAAAGAAAAGACTAAATCATTTTATTGTAATACATGTAAAAAATAGTTTAATTATATTCGATATTAAATTGAAATACATCGTTCAATAGATAAATATTTGTGTTGGATCAGTTAAAATACGGACATATATATATATATATATATCAACATTTTTGATAAGTTATAATTTCAAGTATGAAAAAAATTTGTGTTTGTTGAATGAAATGAATGAGATAGTAGAGATAAAAAAACAAAATTCGATAGAGAAATACTTCTTAAAATAATTTATTTTTCAATCTAGGTATAATGTACATACAAAATACATATTTCTATGTCTAAAAGAATTTTAAACTATCTCTCAAATCTGTTTTTGTTTCTTTTTTTTAGAGAATGGTGGTTGGCGTAAATAATATACTCGATTGTCTCGAGTTAAATACGCCTTCTAATAAACGTGATATTGAAGACATAATTCGTAATCAACGTCAAAATAATAATGAAAATTCTTCATCAACACAACTTTATCATCTTATAATTGATGTTGATACAACATTAGAACGTCTTTATGGTGGTTTTTATCCGGATTGGTTAGCTGGTGGTGAATGGTCACATCTTTATTCTTATATATTATCATTACTTAAAACATGTCAAGAATTATCATTATGTCTTGTATTCTGTTTTGATGGTACACTTTATCGTTATGGACAATCTCAATGGTATTATGAACAAATTCAACAACGAAAAAAAGTTAATCAAATATTTAAACATTTAAAACAAAATAAATCTGGTTTACCACGTCGTCATTTATGGTTATCACCACCAGCATTTCAATTATGTTTAAGAACAATTTTACGTGAAATAAATTCATCATATTTAATAATGTATCAAACATGGGGTTATGGACAATGTCAACATCAAGAACAAATTAAAATATATGCTAGACAATATAATCAAAGTTTAATTGGAATTGTTTCATCTGATATTGAATTTTTATTTTCTACAAATATAAATAATAAAAATATATTATTAAAATATTTTTCATCAAAAAATTTTAAATTATCATTAAAAGGAAAATTAACACTTGTGGAAATTAAATTAAGTCAATTAAAAGATAAATTTTCTCTTGATAATAAACAATTTTCTCTTCTTTTAACATTATTAGGTAAATATTTAAGATATATTTTTATTTCAATAGAACAAATGAAATTATTTCTTTTTGTTCAAGGAAATCATATTATATCTGATAGTGATTTAATACATTTTCATAATGATATACTTCGTAATCAAGATCTTTCAACATCATCATCAAAACGTATTTTACTTGTAAGTTTTATTCATGTAATTATTTAAGAAAATTACTTACATTCGAAATATACTTATTCTGAAAACAAAGATATTTATAATAAATATCAAATGATCAGCAAAGTTTTCGATCAAATTAACTCTTTTGAACTTTTATTTAAAAGTTCTATTGATATCTTTCGAGTATTACCTTAAGAGTATTTCTCTTCTTTTCTGGAGTTTCTAGAGAACGGATCATCAGAACAATTTCGCCTCCTCCCCCATAATTTTTTCGAGACACTATGTTCGATCGAGCTGAAAATTTTTTACAGACATTAGATATTGTTTAAGTTGTCCTTCGAATAGAGAAAAACTAAAACATCGAAGGTATCCTAAAAAAATATGTTTTTTTTTTGAATAGAGGTTTTTTTGTAAGAACTACTAAAAATTAAATACCCATCCCAAAACAGTGCATTGCATATGTGAGAAAAGTTGCAACTCAATTAGACGTATTAGGCCGGAGAAACCGGGACGTTTTTACACTATTTTTCATGAAAAAGTTGGTTTGAGAAGAATTCAATTCGCTATTTTCGCTACACATAAATTTAGTTTTTTCAACGTTTAAATATAATTTTTGGATGCCAAAATATACTCAATTCATAGATACCACTTCAGACTATACGATACCCACAAAAAAAAAATTTTGCGTCATGAAAGATGTGGGTACTACTCTTAATTCAATATATCATGTAGAAATCGAGATTAAGTGAAGATATATTAATCGCATATGGATATAATATTTCTTTAGAAACTATTTTGTATAATAATAATGCTGGAGACAGAAGAATTTTAAGCAAGGTAGAATTTTCAATAAAATAAGGAAAAAATCAGATCTGAATCAAATTGTTGTATGATGTTCTTTAGTTAAGTTTTACTTTTATAAACAAAGTTACGTTTTACAATAATAACTGTCTTATCCATTAATGTACTTCTTTGAATGTTATGTAATCTTAAAATCAGTTGATTTGTTTTATCACATCATAAATCCATCAGCACTCAATATCGATATGATATCATATGTAACACAAGAAGACGTTTCTAACTACTATGGATCTATTTTTTTTGTTTTAAGTCTTAAAGGAGAATAGTAACAATATGATTTTTTTTTTAAATAGAAAAGTAATGGAACTGTTTCACCACCAATAGTGGATTCATCTATGTCAGAAACGAAAACAGACGTATGCTCTCCTGATAATAATACACTTGATACAAGTGAAGATCATCAACAAACATCATCAGTAACATCACCAGTACATTTTTCTACACAATCTCGTTTAAATGGAAATTATTTTTCAATAAATTCAGCTGTTGATCAGCTTATTCCACGTCTTGTTGATTATATTCGTAAACAAAATGTTGATAATGATAATGATATTGATTTTGATTTAATTACTAATCAAGTTTTCAAGTAAAAAAAAAAATTTTTTTTTTGTTTGTTTTTCTAAATTATAAAATAATATTTTCCATGTAGATATTTAACAGATAATGAAACACGCAAGACTAAAACACAATTATTAATTGATTCTTATCAATATTATTTAAAGGCAATCATCGAAAGTCAACCAGTAATAGAGTCTATGGAATCGTCAGAAACGTCTTTCTGTTCTAATTTTTCTTCTAGTCAAGGTAAAATATCATCTTAACTATGAAAATCTACTCTTCATTCTACGATGAAGTTTTTAAAGATACAAAAAATAAAAACTTTTTTTTATATGCTAAATGATCGCATATAGAGAACGTTCTTTTTTATTATTTCAATGAAAAGAAATTAGCTCAGCAAATTTCGAACCGGGCGCAAATTCCTCTTATTAATTTCCTTCCAAATGCAAAATCCTATAAAAGGTTAATACATTCCATAGTGCATACTGACTTGAGTTGTCAATAAAATATCGTACTCAGCAGGATGGCATAATGCTGAACAGTCTGCTTTGACTCTATTGGAAGTAGTGTGATCTTTTGAGGTAATTACTACTTGTATGCAATTATTGCTAAAGTAAATAGCGGAGAGCTCAATCTGACCATCGAGTGATGCTGTTCTCATCTACTTTTACCTAATCAATGTTTGTTCATAAATGTTGCCAATTTTTCGTCCTTTTCATTACGTTTAAATTCACTTTTGATAAATATTTTGACATCTCATTTGAAAACACTGAAGAAAGTTCGATAAAAGTCCATTCATCACTTCATTAAGAGCACAAGTACATGCTCATCCATGATTGAACAACTAATGGTTTTAACTGAAGCATTTCAACTTCGAAATGCAATTTGCTGACCAAAATAGTACAACTTTAGTGTGATCTAAATTTACACTGCCAACACTACGCTATCTCGCTAAACAGAGCTCTATAATTGTAGTTTGATCTAAATGGGTGCTGCTGATAATTACTTATTAATGAAAATGAATACTACTAAGCACTGTGAGTGAAGTGCATCAAGTGTTCATAGAAATATGGTTTTTGTTTCCGAGGATTAATGCGAGATATTTTGAACCCGATTTCAAAATTCGACCTCCTTAGAAAACTTGGTCATCGATCAACATTAAAACAGTCATTGAGCTTCTTTTGTTTTTGTTGAAAACATATAAACATAATTTATTGTTATAGATATAGTAAATTTAATTTCACGATTCAATAAGAGATTCTTCATAAAATATGTTTGTATATTAAAACATTATGCTTTTGGATTTCACGTATTCTATGATACAAAATTTTTAGCGTACACAATTCATATTCTCAATGATTTTTAACCTTTTATCTATCATTTAGTGTCTCTATATATGGTAAATATCGATCCGAAATAGAAACAAAAAAAAAAAAACATCTATCTCTTGTAAATTTCTTCATTAATTAAATTCTTATCAATCATTGCTCTATACTTTTTAAACATCATTTACATAAACATAATATCCAGCTAATAAAAAGCTTTTTTTCTAACAATTAATTAATAATAAAATGTTATTTTTATATTTGATTTTTTTTTTT